TATTGCTATCAAGGGGACTGTTTGGATTTCCTAGGGAGTTCCTTTCCCTATGTCAATTGTCATGTTTCAGGAGCAGCTAGGTGGAGTCAGGGCAGGAGTGGCCTATGTCGGCAGAAGGCCACCTGAGTGGAGAGACAGATGGGCTTGGTAGGCACAGTGTCCCTGGTGTCACAGATTAGCAGGTTGTCGTGGCCCCTCGTAGGACGGTGTGAGGTGATTAGAATGTAGAAATGTAATATCATAGGACTCTGGGAAGAAATGATGTTTACGGGGAGCCTGCTCTGAGGGCCCCTGGAGGCTTTTAAGCACAGAAGAAAAGTCCAAGTTCTCAAACAACAAATGACCTCCAGGGCCATGCAGGGACAGAGCCTGCTTCCACTGAGCAGGCTACTTGAGTTCTGTGTTCTTGGTACCCTGATCTACCCTGTCTCTCACATGTGCACCATTTACAGGAACCTACAAGCTGGATCACAGGGGATGCCAGGGGGCCTGGGATACGACTGGTCTGGCTTTCTATCCCTCCCTATTATGGCCCTACCTTTCCCTCAACATCTTTGTCTTTTCCCTCTTTCTTCAGTGTTTGACCCTCTTCTTCCCTCTCTTTTGTTTGTGTTTACCTAATTTCCCTCCTCCCCAGCATGTGCCAGTGTCCTCCTAGGACACCCATGAAGGAGGTGGTGTTGATGCTTCTGGTCCTCCAAGTGAAGCCCTGTGGGGAATGATCACATTGGAAGGTTGCGGGATGGGGTACTTTCTGCATTTTCCAAAGCAGCCGCCTTGGAGGAGGCCTTGAAGATGGACTGGCTTAATTTTATGGATAAAGATCTTTATTTTATTGATGAATTTGCAGAAGAAACTTTATGTTCTGGAAGCTAGTCTTCTTGTTGGGAAATTAGACAGTTTTCTCTCGGTTTTCCTGGACATCAGGTCCCATTTTTTAGTATATCAAGCTGTCCTCACTCTCCATTGAGATGGGAGCCCAATGGTGAAGCCTTGGGGTGAAACCCAGTTGTTTTTTTCCTTATCCTCTGAATACAGTAGTGCTCAAAGTCACGGTGAACACCTTCAGCTTTAGAATAACAGTGATGATGACTGTCATCGACTCAGCTGTATCTGGAAGGTCAAGTTCACATTAGTTGGCTCTTTGGTGCTTCTCACATCTAATGCTTAGAGTTTCCTGCATCAGAGCATTCGGGATTCCTGTGGCTGAGGAGCTGTGCAGGGCAGAGAGGAAATTAGCCTGGGCATCATCTTTGCACCCAGAGCAGTGCACCTTTACCAAGCATCCTATGTCCAGCCCTACCCGAGTGCCCCTCTTCATCCTGTGTCCCTCATGGTACAACAGGAGGTGGTGGTGTAGTGCTGAGCACATTGGTCCAGGAACTCGGTAAGCTTGATTTCAGCAAGACTTGGTGGTTCATTGATATCGTGTGGAAGAAGGGATTCTCAGCAGACACGCTTTCCTGGGAAAACAGAAATCACAGGTCTACCTCTGTGCTCATCTCATCTACCTCCGTGGTGGAACATGCGAACATTCTATTTTGTGGAATGGGGATGTAACCTTTCCTTATCTGTGGGTCAGAACAGAAGCAGGTGGGGTTCCAGGGTCCCAGTTGCTACCCTTTTCAGGGAGAGAAGCTTTGATCCTCTGCCCAGCTGCCTGCTTGCTCAGTAATCCTATAGGAATGAGTCTGGCACAGAGGAAAGCATATTCTAGAACATTCTTGCTGGTTTGCTTAATCACAGAGTGTGACCATGACTATGACCTAGACTAATCCAGTGTAAATTTAGTCTGATATTGTGAGTGCTATTTCAGCAACCGAACACATGGAACCCATGTGGCCTCTTTTTAACTAGCTGTAAAAGGGGTTGGATGGATAGCCTTTAAGCCCCATCCTGTTTGGATGTTATATGAATCTGTGGCTCTAGGGTGTTGGGACTGGAGTGGGGGATGGTATGAAATTTTGGACCAAACTGACTCCCCCTTTCCATATTTCTCTTCCTTTCTCTTAAAAAAAAAAAAAAATCTGGGGCCAGAGAGATTGCTCAGCAGTCAAGAGCACTGACTGCTCTTACAGAGGACCCAGGTTTGATTCCCAGCACCCACATGACAGCTAGCAACCGTCCGTAACTCCAGATCTGATACCCTTTTCTGACCTCCACAGGCATTGCATGGCACTGATGCACCTACCTTGATGAGTGCAAGTGATACACTCGTACACATAAAATAAATAGTTTTTTAAAATCTCCTGTTACTATTGTGTGTATGTGTGTGATGTGTGTGATGGGGGCATGTTGGGCCATGGAGTGTATGTATGTGTATAGGTCAGAGGGCAGCTTTGTAGAGTTGGTTCTCTTCCACCTATATGTGGATTTGAGGGATCAAGCTCAGGTCGCCAGGCTTTAGGCAAGTATGCTAAAGTCATCTTGCCAGCCCTTCCTTTCCCTTCTATGTTCAGGATGGAGAGTTCAAAGCCATTCTGTTAGTCACTCCGTTCCGCTGCCTCTTGACTTAAACAGGCTTGGGAGACCTGATCTGAGAACCTTCCACCTGAGCTGCCAATGTCTTTCAAACCTGGCTTTGTGCTTTGCCCTGTCAACTCTCAGGGCAGCGACTCCTTGGAGGAGTCTCCTCTGATCACCTCCTACAACAGCAGCTGAAAAGCCTTCTGTGCGGACAACACTATAAATGTTTTGGGCTTCCAGGCCACAGGATTTCTTGTAACACAAAAGCAGCCCCAGACAATACATACATGAATGAGCATGGCACTGCTCCAAGAAAGCTTTGTTTACAAAAGCAAGCCGTGGCTGGCTTGGCCCTTGGGCTGTAGTTTGCCAGTTCCTGCTGCCCATGGAGCCCTCACCCACCATTTCCGTGTGGGCTGCTATCCTGCTGCCTCTCCCTTAACACTACCCCACATACTTTACATTTTCTGTGAATTTTATACTTATTTTCTGTTGCCATCACAATGGAAGGTCTACCAGGGCAGGGACCCCACCTTGTCTGTGTTGATTTCTGAGCATGCAGAACAAAGCTTAGCCTGTGGTAGGTGTTCAATAAACAGTGGGTGAATGAGAAAAACAAGCTTGAAACTTAACCTGGTTGTCATTTGGGACTTTCTTTCTGCCCTTTTTTTTTTTTTTATACTTATTTTCTGTTGCCATCACAATGGAAGGTCTACCAGGGCAGGGACCCCACCTTGTCTGTGTTGATTTCTGAGCATGCAGAACAAAGCTTAGCCTGTGGTAGGTGTTCAATAAACAGTGGGTGAATGAGAAAAACAAGCTTGAAACTTAACCTGGTTGTCATTTGGGACTTTCTTTCTGCCCTTTTTTTTTTTT